TTTTATACAGGGTGGGCCATTTTAATCGATCCACCCAAATATCTCCAAAAGTAAGCGCTATACAAAAAAATTGTTTAAACAAAAGTTGTTCAGGACAATGGGGGTCATCTTTCTGCATTATTGGTTTCGACCTTAAGGTCAATTTTTAAGGTTATTTGAAGGTAAAAATAATTTTTTTAATGAGAACTCCTATTTTCGACACCGGATTCGGAAAGAGCGGGAAATTTTACGTCAGAAATGATAGTTTGATAATTTGTTAAAGTGACCTTCAGAAAGTCAAATGTTGAAAAATCGTCCAGAAGTTGTTTTCTTCAAATTTTAGAACATTTATGGGCGAACAAATGTTTTAGTAGGTTTGGAGGCCAACGACCTTGGCTATCTTGACCTTGAGGTCAAATTTAAAGGTTATTAGAAGGTCAAAGTGATTTTTTAAATGAAAAACCTTACTTTCCTCGCTAATCTTACTTTTAGCGTTACCCAGAAACAACGACGTGGACGTAGTAAGTTCTGTTTCCTTTGGGGTGCTTGTTTACCGTGAGTCCCCTTGCTTCTCACGATTGGGGTGCTTGTTTACCGTGAGTCCCCTTGCCTCTCACGATTGGGGGCTTGTTTATCGTGAGTCCCCTTGCCTTTCACGATTGGGGTGCTTGTTTATCGTGAGTCCCCTTGCATCTCACAATTGGGGTGCTTGTTTACCGTCAGTCCCCTTGCCTCTGACTTTAACCATATTAAAGCAAGTGTTCAAAGTTGCCTCCATTAGCTTCAAGACACAAATTTACACGCCTTTGAAAATGTTGCACTGTCCTTAGCAAAGTTTCCCTTGGGATTGCAACGCAGGCTCGACGAATACGGTCTATCATGTCTTCTCTGGTTGTTGGCCGTTGTGTAAAAACAACATCTTTTAAGAAGCCCCATAAATAAAAATCGGGAGATGTCATGTCTGGTGAGCACGGAGGCCAGTTAACTGGACCTCCTTGTCCAATCCACCTCTCATTATAATTATTATTTAGAAATTCGCATACTATTAGTGCAAAGTGGGGTGCTGCACCATCTTGCTGTAACCACATTCTCTGCCATGTTTCTAAATCGACATCCTCCAAGAGCTCTGGCAATCGATCCCTAAGCAATTCCAAATATCTATCGACGTTTCCCTCAAAAGCATAAGGTCCGATCGAAAAAATCACTTTGACCTTCTAATAACCTTTAAATTTGACCTCAAATGTTCTAAAGTTTGAAAAAAACAGCTTCTGGACGATTTTTCAACATTTGACCTTCTGAAGGTCGCTTTAGCAAATTATCAAACTATCATTTCTGACGTAAAATTTCCCGCTCTTTCCGAATCCGGTGTCGAAAATGGGGGTTCTCATTTAAAAAAATTATTTTGACCTTCAAATAACCTTAAAAATTGACCTTAAGGTCAAAACCAATAATACAGAAAGATGACCCCCATTGTCCTGAACAACTTTTGTTTAAACAATTTTTTTGTATAGCGCTTACTTTTGGAGATATTTGGGTGGATCGATTAAAATGGTCCCACCCTATATATTGCAATAATGCGATCAATGTTACTTTCGTCTTGTCGAAGCGCTACATCTGGACACTAATGAGATACGGGTCGAGAGTTGTGAAAGAGGCAACCGCCGATCGAATTGTAAACATGTGACTTTTCATATATAGTTTAATCAACTTTCATTTTTAATAAAATATTAAATAATAAGTTATTATTTTATCAACAAATATCTAAAAAAAGGCTTGAAAGAATCTATCAATAATAATAATAATAAGCAAGCCCATCAAAGCCAATCATCAGTTAGTCGGATGTACAATTTATTTTCGTGTAATTAAACAAGTCATATCACAATTTTAATAAATAAACGTTTCGACCCCTATTTTTGGGTCCTTATCAATATAAAATACCCTAAATCCGCTTACATACTATACGCAATTTCCAAAAAAAACGACCAGCTCATTCTTCTTTATCCAATTGCAAAGTTAGCTGTGTAACGAAAACTCACGTCAGTATAGCACACACACCAGCATCAAATTAATATATGTCAAAATGTATATATACTGCACATACTATCAACCTGGTACACTAATACTAAAATTTGAAATTATAAAAATTGAAATTTACGTATGCAGTCGTATTCATTATGTTAAATTGCATAGAACTTATATAAACTGTGAATTGCGATTAAAGACATGAATAATGCGTTAATACTTAAAATACTGAAAATTAATACAATAGGAAAGTTACCTGAATTAAGTAAACACACCGTTATTACATAATAATCTTAATTTGTAAAGTGATATGAAATTTAAATAAATAACCTTACCTCCATATATGAATAAATACAATGATAAAAACTTACATAAAAAGAGAACGACTCCAGTACATTATGTCAAAAGGGTAGAACACATTGTTCATTAAATGTCAGATATCCTGTGTAATCATTCACGCCAAAGTAAAAACCGATTAAAAAAATACTGCAAACTTGCACCAGGATTTAATTTTGTTAACTTACATAACGACTCACATTCAAAGCCAACATCGAGATCTTGTGGTGTCGACTGTCAGAGACGAAATGAGAGTCAAATGATAAGTCACGTAGTCTTTAAAACAAAAATAAAGAAATAAAGTTATAAATATAAACCAAGACCAAGGAGAGAAACTTCGTCACGTTACCGCGAATAATTCTAAATAAAGTGGATCTAATGTATACGTATCATTTTGTAAATTTAAACTCTGTTTCTGTTGTTTAATATGGATCATTTATTTTATCAAAAAATAATTTAAATATTATTCGTATTTCCAAGTGTGGAATTCCACACATGGAAAAGTTTTAAATGTGGAATACTCCACATTATTACACTACAGTCGACGCCCCTGGTGTCTCAGATTTTTCTGTTCAAACTTTAACAGTACGTTCTAAAACAGTACATTAAAACCTCGTAATAGAGAATCTCGAAATAGCACGAATAATCCCTTCCGTGCTATGGACAGCATTGGGAGTAGCAATAGCCACTAAAATTTTAAATTTCATTGTTTTTTGGTGTCACAACATTGTTTATGGTGAAGTATAAATAGTTGGGTTTTATTTTAAGACGTATGTTCTGCATATGAAGATTTCTTTTATTCTTGCAAAGATGTCAAATTTAAAATTACATATCCATCTTGTATTAACATGTCCATCTTGTATTAACATGGGCGAATTACACTTGAAATATAAATTTACATAAATTTTTTTTACACATTTCATTTTTTATTATAACTTCTTAATAAAGCATTTTAAAACATATATTTATATAAAATTTGTAATTTTACTCAATATTGTTTATATATTTATATATAATTACATATATTTTTAACTCATTGAGCAATTAAATTAACTTACTTTTAAAGTTTGTACGCAAAAATCTGTAGGACACCCTATATTACGTATATTTAAACATGTTTAAAACATGAAAATCTCTGGTACATAAATTTTAATCACTATCGATTATTTATTTATATTGTGGATATACAATATTTTATGCAAATTATCGAAAACCCTTTAATTCTCATAGTTTATATCAATATATATTTTATTATATCTATAAGTTAAATACTACATTGATATTTTGCAACCCTACGAACGTTTTAATAAATTCTTTCGTTATTGATAACCTTTTATTCTTTAAGTGCGCAACATTTGCTATCTGCGCAATATTTAGAATTTTTATTCTTGGACATCATTTATGATATTCAACGATTTTAAAAAACTCGTAACACACAATTGTATCAGAAATTAAAAAATTCATTTTTTAATATTTTATTTTTCATTGGAATTTGAAATATTCTATTTTATTTCATCTATTAAGCTGCTATTCCATGCGAGCAAAGAAAAGCTAGCGTTTATCCCCACTGCATCACAATTCAAATCCAGCGTTGAAAAGTTAAAGCTATCGCCTCCTTCCTTTTCGTAGAGCGAAGTTTCGCTGACGAAGTTACTCCCACAATGCCGTGAATAAAGGAGCATTGAACAAACAATTCAAAAAATTGACCAATAAAAAAATGCTTCGAAATATTTGGTCAATCAAGTGGGCCATAGCCAGAGTCAGCGTTGCTTCGCTCATAGTTGGACAGTGTCGAAATTTGAGCGTTTATTCGCTGGATTCACAATTTTATTTTGGCGAAAATTTATGGAGAGGAGGTAAAATGCCAGCTTTTACTCGCTGCATGAAATCGCACCTTTATTTTGGATTGTTAAGTTTTTATTCTATTTTCTTGTTCTGCGAATCCAAAAATTTTTGAAGATATTTGTACTTAATACATTCTTTCTCTCAAAAAATAAAAAAAACACAAAAATGATTACAACAAAATATTCAAAAAGATGTAAAATTTTGTGCATGTTAATAAAAATAATAAAAAGAACATAAAGAAAAAGAATTGAGCGCATATGTATTTTGATTGATAAACCAATGTAAGTTGCGATTTATTTTAAAAAAATTAGGCGATTCATTGGTCAAAACCTTTACGCGTTTATGCGCAACCCGCTTAACGGGTTTTGCCTTTGTTAATCTTTTGAAGAGTTGCTGATTACGTTGAAATTGTTGGTGTAGTTTAAAAGAACTCCCGACCAAACGACGTACGTTGTTTTCACCGACAATTGATCACCACAGATTCCTGGAGGATCGTTAATTTTTCGAAATAACCTGAACGTGCTTTTTTCCTAATTCTTTAAATCATCTTGATCTTTCATATCCATTTTATATTTTCTAAATTATCTAAAAATATCTTATTATTGTGCCTCCTATCTCTTCCATGATTATCTTCAGCTAAACGAGAGAGCCACTCATCTCTTTTTTGATAATCTATTAAATTCGAATAAAGATAGATGTACGATCACTTGCGTCACTCTGTCCTGTACAGTAACAGTATCTGAAACATTATTGATCTTTTTGGAAAATGACTTATTAGAAATCGGTTCGATGAGCCAGTTAGTTGCATCCCTCTCAATTTACTCCTCGCTATTAATAGATGCATCGTCCGGATTCTGAATTTGGTGTCTCTTGTCACTTCTAATATCACCGATAGTCTTGAAGTAGATGCTATGGTCATACTGATGAATTTCTAAGCAATTGCTGTCCAGCTCACTGTTTGATTGATAATTGAAAGTACCACAGCAGTTTATCTTAATCTCCCCTGGAGACAATTTCCATCTGGATTGTTTGAGACTGTGGAATACTATCGGAGTTTCGTCGGAAGACATGTTCCAATTATCTTGCATTGTTTGCTGATTCTTGAGCCACCTGATTTATTTTTGTTCATATTAAAAACATCACTTTTATACGTATTAAATTAGATTCGTATCTAATTGTTTATTATTATACGTAATCTTTAGAAGATTTTTTGAATAATAAATATTATCGGACGTCTCTCTCTCTCTCTCTCTCTCTCTCTCTCTCTCTCCCTCTCACCTCTGCGATCGAAAACGATTATAACCACGTGCAAAGGCCGCCCATCTCCTAATCCTCTGAAAAATATATTCAGTTTCTTCACTCCACCATTCCGACAGATTTTTTTTAATCGTAATGTCCCTGTTCTCCGTTATGGTTGCCATTTCAATATTGCAAACGAAGACGAGAACTCCAAGAGTTATGTGATGATGATTTGTGAAGTTTCATAATGATACAAACAAATGATCAGACAAGATAGAGACTGTAGAGAGAGTTCACAACTGTAAAAGTGATTCGGCCTGGTGGGATTGATTTATAAGTCTCGCAAGAAACACCTCAAATGCGGAAGCCATTGATGATTGTGGCCATGACCTTGCATACTAGTGCCTTGTTTTCACTGCGTTAGTTTCCGTCAATTGGAAACATATCGCGAAAAATTATGTCAAAATAAACCATCTCAACACAAAATACCTTTGTAAAAATAAATAGACTAATAAAGTCTATTTATTTTTATATTGATTGGATTGGAATAGGAAGATTCTTCAATAAGTATACGTATACTTAGGTTTCATTGTATAAAAAATAAAGATAGTACCAATTGGATTAAGTAAATAATAAATAAAGATAGTATTACTTGAGTTTTACTTTTCATTCTGATAGTAGAATTTAACTTGGCGCCACAGTTGTTGATATAAAATCGTTCGTACAATTAATACATACCATTAGATTAATATTCATTAGTTATTTAATTTGGCATGGTATAAAGAAGTGGGATTTAACTTGGCATCAGTTCTTGATATCAAATCTTTTATAGGAATAAAACATAAAATTTTTTTGATAAAATTTTGATGAATGTAACTTGGTGCCAATTTTGTTGATATCAATTATACGAATATGATACATATCATTAGAGTTAAATAAATTATTTTTTCTTTGGGAGGAATAAAATGGTAAAATTTAATTTGTTCGAATTACATTGAATTTAACTTGGCGCCAATTGTTGATATCAAATCTTTTATACAAATGATACATATCATTAGTTCTACTAAACAGCAAACGTGATTAGTTATCAGTTTCACGGCCGATTAAGTAATTGGCGTTGGTGAAACTGGTCCAAATGGTGATTCTTTACGAGAAACACCATTTGGGCCAGTTTCACCAACGCTTAGCGCTTTTTTTATAAATTTAAGACAACAATGTTCACCACGATAACAGAAATCAATTAAGAGAGAATTACCAATGTGAGCCAACAAAATGTTTTCTGCAAAATGTCATATATTATAAATCATAAGTATAAATTACAGACGTTTCGACATTATTGTGTTTGCTTCAAATGTATAAACCATATTCTAGATATAGTAAGCAACTTTACTTTATTTCATTGGGACGCTTACTATATCTAGAATATGTTAT